CGTCCCCCGCATCGGCAGGCGGACTCTCAACCACTGCGCCACCAGGGAAGCCCTCCAGTCATGTTTTGACTTCTTTCAAAACCCTCAAGACTTCTTTCCATCCCACTTGTTAACAGGCTGAAATGGGTTTGTGCTGAAGTTGGCTATTTTCCCTGACCGTCTGTCAAGTGTACTTTCTCCTTATTCTGACATACTCTAGGTTTAGTCTTCTTTTTTTCTCAGTCTTAAACAACAGTAACTCATTTGGAAAACGTTCACACGTTCCAGGCTCTGCTGTGATGTCATGTGTCTTACGGTCTGGGAAGGTCACGTTGTCCCCATTGTACAAATGAGGTAGTAAGTGACACCCACAGTGAAATCCAGGCTCTGGGCTCTTTTTTTTTTTTTTTTAAATCAATTTATTTACGTATTTATTTTTGGCTGCGTTGGGTCTTTGTAGCTGTGCGTGGGCTTTCTCTAGTTGCAGCGAGCGGGGGCAACTCTTCATTGCAGTGCATGGGCTTCTCATAGTGGTGGCTTCTCTCATTGCAGAGCATGGGCTCTAGGCACGCGGGCTTCAGTATTTGTGGCACACAGGCTCAGTAGTTGTGGCGCACGGGTTTAGTTGCTCTGCGGCACGTGCGATCTTCCCAACCAGAGCTCAAACCCATGTCCCCTGCATTGGCAGGCGTGTTCTTAACCACTGCGCCACTGAGGAAGTCCCTAAAATTGTACTCTTAACCGTGCTCAGGTGTTTGTCTCTGAAGCAAAGTTAGCGTTCCTTCTGAAGAAGAAAGGAGGGTAGATGGACAGTGGGCCAGGGTGTGGGGATAGATGAAAAAAAAAAAAAAGCAGGTGCTTCTGTGTATGAATAGAGGGAAAAGGCCTCCCTGTGGTGTCGGTCAGGTCAGGGGGACCCAGCAGCCGCCCCTGCTGAGTGCTGTGCTGTGCGCATCCTCTTCTGCTCTCCGGAAGGATCCTGATGTTGCACAGACCTCCGTCGTAGTCTGTGGGCTCAGACGCCATGTTTACATCATCTCCTTTAGGTGTCTCGCAGACGTCTCAGGCTCAGTGTGTCCGGACTTGAACTGCCCTCTCTGCCTCCTCAGCCTCCCCTGTCTGTTGAGGGCAGCTCCGCTCT